CCCGCCCCCGGCCGAGCTGTCATGTACAGCGAGAGCCTCTGCCCTGCAGTCGTCGGGGAATGGCTGCTGCCAATGCTTCTGCGCAGCTGGGCCAGCGCAGGGGGCAGCTGCAGGAGCCCGGACCTGCGGGCGGGCACACAGGCAGGCACAGCCTCTCCTGGGCTCGGGGGGACCAGCAGGAGCAGACCCCTGTCTGTCTTACAGCCGCAGTCTCACCCTTACGTGGGAATAAATAGGGTTAGGAAACTCGTAAGGCAGAAGTGATAGCGGGGGTTGGCTGCTCTGCGCACAGCTGAGAGGTGGCCTGGGTGCATTAAACCCTGTTCTCGGGGGCAAAAATTCAGCCGGTCCCATCGCCGTGGGGAGCGGGCTGCGGTTAGGCTTCGGGCCCATTCAGGATCACTAATTCTATCCCGTTCTTGCTAAAGGAGATAATCTGTACAAGGATATGAGCAGAAGCAATAAATACGGAACCGTCAGCGGTGGGAGCAGGCTCATCAGCTTTTACTTCTGTTACCCTGATGCAGGGCACGTGTTTTCCGGTGTGTTAGCGGCAGCATCGTTTGCTGGTATGCTAATTCTTAACAGAATAGATTTAAAAATAGATCAACGTCTGTTAAACAAAAGCAGAAAGCCAAAAGAGGAAAAAAGTCGTTAGCTACGTAAGCCTAAGCCGAACGTAGCAGCCAGATATCCTGTGCTCAGCCTGCCTGTGCCAGTGGGTCGGGAAGGGGAGAAATGCGTGACTCAGGCTGTGCACAAAGCGTGAGCCGAATCAAAGGCTGCGGATAGTGGAGGGGTTGTTCTCGCCGGCGCTTGGCATTCAGGGCTGTGCAGAGGATCATTGCTGCTTCACTTGGTGGCTGTATGTGGGATGAAAAGGGCGCGGAGCCTTTGCTTGGCAGCACGGCTGCCGCCAAGTTCTTCTGATTCATTTCAGGGAGCGAGGGATGGCATGTAGAAAAGCTGTTTAGTTAGTCGGTGTTTGGGTGTAATTTCAGCCTAAGGAAGACAAGTGTAACGATTATAATGCACATGCACAAAGTGCCTATTTCTGCGGTGCCAGACTGTCCTGTCTGGACATTTTTCTTTGGAGAGGATAAAATCTCCATTTTCACTTTGTAATATCCCCTCCACGTACGCTGGCCGGACCAGAAGCAGGTTCGTGCTCCGTGCACGGCCGGTACTACTGCTGTTTTGGGGGATCCAGAGTGCCTTTTATTGGATCTGTGTTTGGGATGGATCCTGGAGTCACTGAGCATGCCTTGCTGCTGGCAGTGCCCGTTTTCATGCTGGAACTAAAATGTCCCCACCTGCAGGGCGGCACAGTGCCGGAGGTGAAACGGGAGAGCTGGGGGTCACCTTCTCGGGATGCTGCTGAACGGCACCTGCTGGGATGCCTGTGCGAAGAGCCGGTCCCAGGGGGATAGCTGCGTGCCGTGGGCCAGCGTGCGCGGGAGCCTGGCTGCCAAACTGCCTTCTCCTGGGGTCCCGTGGGGCGTTCGGCACCGTTTCGGCCCAAAAGGAGGGTTAAGGCAGCGAGATGGCTGGTGAGGCGGCTGGGCTGGGGCAGCACTGCCTGTTTCTGCAGGCTGGTTTCCCTGGCAGGAGACGTGAGTGGAGGGAGTGCGTGCTGAGCCAGCGCGGCGGCTCTCCAACGTGACTGCACGGCGGTGGCGGGGAGCCGTGCTCGCTTCGGGATGTAAATGCGTGCAGAGGCTGTGGAAGAACAGGGAGAGCCGCACGCAGCTCGCTGAGGTTGGGAAGGGCTCCCTGGGGAATAGGCAATGCTGCACCAAGGTTATCACGATGCTCGTACCCAGCAGAGCCGGGCAGCTGCAGGGCTGGAGTGCGGACCTCGGCTCTTTCCAAGGGCCCCGAAGCCCTTCGGGTCACTGGTTTCTGCATCCTGTGCAGTTGTTCCCGCAGGAACGTGGGCTCCGGTTGTTTGGCGGCTGATGGGAGGCTGCGTTGGAGGCAGAGGAAATGCACAGGGGGAGGAACTGCAGCCGCCTGGCTGGGGCCGGGGGGGCTTACGGCCAGGCTGTCCCCCCCAGCCCTTGCTGGGCAGGGGGACCTGTGTGGGGTGGGTTTGCCTGGGATGCCATCACCTTTGGGACTGCTTTACAGGAGGGGTTTTTGTCCTGCTCTCATCGGCAGGCAGGAGGGGCAGGGGCTGGCTCTCCATCCCTGCGAGAAGCAGCTGAAGCCCTAAATGGTGCCCTGGGAGCACCCGTGGTCCCGGCCGGTCCCTGTGGCGAGGGCTCTGCCCCTACCGTCATCCCGGCAGCGCTCTCCAGAGAAGTAATGGACCTCACAGCTTTGCCTGCCTGTGTCCTCTGTATGGAGCCATCTCGGTGCCAACGTGACCCCGTCCCGGGGTGACCTCAGCCCCCGAGGCTGGGCTCCTCCAGGGAGGTGAATAGCTCAGCCCAAGCAGGGCTTGAAAACTGGGACTCTGGGGCATCGCGTGAGCGTGGGGAGGGCCGGGATGGGTTCTTGCGGCGGAGGTGGGCAGGCTCCCTCGGCTCTCGTTCCTTCCTCTCGGTTCCCGTGGGCCGTTGCTCAGATGCAGTGCTGAGCGTGGCTGTTAGCTCGCACAAGTGATTAATGCCTGTCTCATAGCCAGGGAAGGGGAAAAAAACCCCCAGAGCTTGCAGGAGGGACAGTCCTACTTCAGAAGACTGCCAAAATTGCTGGCGAGCTCCCGAGCTGTCCTTCACCCACGCCTTCTGTCTCCCAGTATATTCCAGTTCCTCAGCCTCTCGGACTGGCTGAGCGAGCAGGCTGTGCTGCAGGCAGCGGGGAGCGGAGCAGCTGAGCTGTCTCGGGTGCAGAAAGCGAGTGAATCACAAAATTGGCAGACCTGGGCGGGTGGTTCTTGTAATTTTGGTGAAGAAATGGTTGTTCTGAGCGATGGTCATGTGCACCATCCCTTCTTCTCTCCCCGCCCTGCAGACATCCACAGCAAGGAGGAGAGGTGGTTTGTGTGCCGACTGCTTGTTATTCAAGGCATAATTACTCGTTGCTTGGGTTAGAAACCAGGATGGGCTCATGTCTGTGAGAACGGCAGCTGCAAAACCTTCCGGTGGGAATGTAAAATGCATTTAAAAGGTGCCTTTTGCCCTGACTTTGAAGTCTGTTCTTCTATTCAGGGCTGTCTCAGTGAGGTTTAAAACATCTGAGCAGCACAGCAAGTGTAATAAAGTTTTCTTTGGGGTCTGTTAAGGAGGTTTTCCTGGTTGCCGGTGATGGAAAGGCCTGGCAGGCACTGCCTCGGAGTGTTTTCTGGCTGCACTCCAAGTACGTTTCCACTGGATTTGTGTTTACCGATGCGTTTTTCTGGGGTGGCAAGGCAATGTCTATTTGGAGGGAGCTTTTCTGCAGTTGGAGGGAGCTTTTTTGCAGTCTCAGGGAGCACACAGCCCCTCATGATTCATTTCCATGGCTTTTAGCATCCTGGAGATCAATTATGCAAACCACAAGCCATCAGCTGAGTCAGGGTTGCTGGCTCCCTGTCTTGGATTAGCCCAGGGACCAGATATTTGCCTGATTCACTTTCCTCCTTCTGCCAGCCTGTGACTCCCTTGGTCACCAGGAAACGTGAGCTGGTTGCAAATCCCAGCCAGGTTTTCAAACCAGTTTGGTCCTCAGGCGAGCACTGGTTTTGTTGTGCCCTTGGAGGAGCTGGCTGGGCTGTGCCTCCCCAGAAAGGTGCCAGCGAGAGCTGCGGGTCCTGCACGCTCCCTGATGGGTGCTGAGCACCCCAGCATCCCGTTCTGCCTTATCCCGGGAGTCTGCGCAATCGTCCCTGGTTGAGACGTGGGAGAAGAGGCGCAGATGAGCTGTGTGGAGGTGACACCGGGTGTTTTCCTCTCGTGCCTGTGCTGAGGTCCTGGCTCTAGGTGCTTGGTGGGTGTAGCTTTCAGGATGCCTTGGTGGATAAGGAGCTTCCCCATCCCCTGACAGCAAAGAAAAGATTAAACAGTAAAAGGATTTAGGGGAAGGGATTGGAGTAATAGTGATTAAGTCATGGATCAGGATTTGTGATTAAGAAACTCTGACAGCAGCGTGGTGAGCCCTGTATAAATGCAGAGGCAGGGTTTCTGCAGGCAGGGGTGCAGGCAGCGTGTGGCCGAGTTCCGGCAGGCAGGATGGAAACCGCGGGCAGGCGCGGTGCTGAGCAGAGTGGCTCCCCGCGCCCTGCTCCCGGCAGGCCCTTTCCTGCGGGCTCGCTGCTCTTTGGGCATCTCATTGCTCTGCTGTTGCCCCCCTTCCCTCCCACCCCATCCAGCACGCAGGGTTTTTGCTCTCCGGGCACTTTGGCTCCTCGCATTTCTGCATTGCAGCGATGGTTTGTGAGCATCGACCACGTGCAGCTGCTGTATCTGGAGCTCGCGCTTTGCAGGGATGGCCGTGTGTCTCCGCCGGCGGCGGAGCGGTGCCCTGGTGCGGGCAAGGACTGTGCGTACCGCACGGCAGCCCCACGTTGGGCGCCTGTCGGGACTGCTGAGGCTCTGCAGGAGAGCGAGGGCTGGGGTGCTGGGGGAGAGCAGAAGTGCTGTCAAACCTGCTCCCACGCCTTGGGGTGCGGCAGCCGAGTTCTGGGGAGCAGTTTGCATCGGGCAGCTTCCCTCTGCCTGGTGCTCAGCCAGCTCCACAGCCCTGCAGGCGGCTGACCCCCAAATCCCTGCTGCAGCCTGTTATGTGCTTATTCATGAAGCACAGCATCCCATTCCCATTCGCCCCAGAGCCTGCTTAATCACGTTTCAGGGTGTTTTCTCATGTCATACTTCCCTAAATTCCTCTTGGTAGTTTTTAACTCTCCGCCCGGTGAGCAGTGACTCCCTGTCGCTGCCATTCCCACTCGGATGCCGGTGTTTCTGCCCTGGGAGCAGCCGCCCCATGGTCGGTCCCAGCCGGCATCTGGTCCTCGGGAGCCTTGCTGGGCTTTGCGAAGCCCCTCTGGCGCTGCCACCACCCAGGGTGGGAGCAAGCAGTGGGCAGAGGAAAGACACAAATGGAGATGTTGGTAGGTTTGCTGGCACGGTGCAGACAACACCTCACGGGGCTCGCCCTCGGCGTGCAATTTATGTACGTTTTCTGCGCTGTGTTCACGGGCTTCGGATTTTACAGAAAGTGCTTGAAGCCGGGGTTACACGGTCATTCTGGCAGGTGGGGAGGCTGAGCCTTGGGTCAGCGGGTCCCCCATAAAATCTGACCCTGGAGCAGCTGCGAGGAGGGGAGAGGAGCCCCTCTGGAAGGGGGTGCACGGCAGGCGGGGGTTTAACCGGCTCCTTTTATCTTTTCAGAGCCAAGTGGCCATGGTGACCTGCTGGTAGGGGAGGCCCACCGGGACAGCTCGCCTGGGAAGCACCCCAAAGATGAGGCTCAACCGGAGATTGGAGCCACTAAAGCCAACTCGGATACTAAAGGGGAATGCAACCCCGAAGACTCGTCCCTGACACAGCTGCCGGCTGAAACCCAGCCCCTGGCTGCGCTGGGAAGCGGGGCTGACGCTGGCTGCGCTGCCGTGCCCGCTGCAGAGCCAGCCCCGGTGCCCCATGCGGGCAGAGCCGCCGGGGAGCGGGTCATGTCAGGAGAGGACGCAGCAGACGCCGACACGGGGCTGGTGGAGCCGAAGGCTGATGCCCTGGCCCAGGAGTGCTCGCCCAGCCGGGGCCAGCTTGGGAAAGGGAAAACACCTTTGCTGGGGAGGAAAACAGAAGAAACCACAGAGGAGACCCCGGTGCCTGAAGCATCCTACCAGTTTGACCCTGAGCAGTATGACGAGAGCGTAAACCCCTTTGTGGCAGGGGGGGGGGGGGGGGGGGGGGGGTCTGTCTCCTTTTCCAACTTGCTATAGACTGCACATCTCAAAGCACAAGAGAGGTGGGTGATTTGGCCCCTGCTCTCTTCCAACAGCTACAGC